TCTACAACCGGTATCTTTACTGCTGAACAGAGACCTCTATGATGTTACTTATAATCCAAGTTTCCTTTTTCTATCTTAACCCTGAGGCCTGAGCTTGAATAAGCCAGGGCTCAGCTACAAGCTCATTTACCTCCTAAAGGCCAGAAGGTAATTAAAGCTCCAAAGACATCCTAAGAACACTTGATATACTCCTGCTCATTCAGGATGAAAGTTTTTTGTTTTGTCTTCCTTGTTTTTTGTCTTTGTTTTTCTTAGGACCAATCAGTTTGCTAGGTCAATTTGGCTTCAAATACTCATCACAGCCAGATAATGTTTTCATAAGGGTGGACTTTGTGGGATCACAATTGCTGTCTTTCCAGTAACCCCAGAGCACACACAATTAGCTGGCAAAGGCACAGACACATTAGCAGATCCCAGAACAAAAATAATTTTCAGGTAATGAACTATCATGGAATTTCCTTTTTCTCCAGAAATCATAAATATGGCAATAATTTAGTCAAGGAGCCAGAGCTGCTGATAGTTCTCTGTAAAGATCAAGGACTGGCAACCTTTTCTCTAAGGCATAAAAGAGAAGAACTCAAACTCTGATGAACAGGAAGTGCAGTTGCACTTAGTACATGATTTGACCTCCCCTACCCTTTCATTGGATGACTTACTAAATGATGTTTCGTAAGTGTTTATGGTTTTATCCACCCCCTCATGCTAGACTGAGATTAACCAGGAATCTTAATACTAAGTAAATACTAGAGATGTACAGGTCAGGTCAAGAAGCTCTTTTTGTCAGCCCTGAGAGACCCAGACCATGACCAACATATCAATGGGAAAATAAATGAAAATATAAGGTTCTAGCAGAGAACTTTATAGTAATAATATTCACACAAGCTGGGCCCTCCCTGGTGGCACAGCGGGTTAAAGCACTGCACTGAGAAGCTAAAGCAACTTCCTCATGAGTTCGATCCCCGCCTGCCCCGGAGGTGGCCACATGGCATGGCAGACCTCTCCTGACCCGCCCGCTGCTCCCCTCAGCAGTGTACTTCGTTGATCTGCCTATTCTGCTCCCCACTCTGTCTCTGGTGAAGCCTCTCACTGCCCTTGAGCCTCTGGCCTGTACCCTAGTTCTGTATGCACAAATAAATAAATCTTTAAAAAAAAATATTCACTCAAGCAGAAGAAAGCCATGTCTCAAAGTAGGAAAAAAATATTCCCGGCGGCTCTACTTCCAAGGCACCTGTGAATGGACTTCCACCAGCTCAAGAGAGTCCCAGTGAAAGGTAACAAGTGATCCTAGTGGTAGAAATCATAAACATGGCAATAATTTAGTCAAGGAGCCAGAGCTGCTTGCACAGTTTTTTGTTAAAATGCCATTGCCTCTGTCAAACGCTCCTTGATTTCAGGGGCAGTGATTAAGTCTCCCCACTCTTCTCTGAAAGCACCAAAGATTTATGCGTATGAAGGCACTTGGCACTTACCACGTTATTGTTTAATGTTCTGTATCTTTTTTAAGATTTATTTGTATGCATACAAGAGTTGAGGTGTAGGCCAGAGGAGTTGGAGGAGAGAAGATTCACAGATTGGGGAGCAGAATGGACAGATCTACTGAAATCCATAGCTGAGGAGAGCAGCAATGACAGGAGAGGTCTGCTGGGCCAAGTGGGTCAGCTCCCTGGCCAGGGATTGAACTTGTACTGCAGTGGCTGCAGATAGCTTCATAGTGCTTATGCAACCAGGGAGGCCCCAACAACCATCATATTATATTAAATGTTGCATCTTGCGCTAAAGATTGAGACCACTGCGGGACTTTTATCCTCAACGGTTTGTGACACATAGAGGGACAAATAAGGAAGGAAGGAGGGAGGGAGAGAGAGTGGGAGGAAAAGTGAGTGAAGGCTGGAAACACTGATTAATGGATCAGACACTTGGCTTTACTTACCCCCGAGTCCCTCTTCCTGTGCCTTGGTGCACATTACTCCCTGTGTCTTCAGGGTTTCCCATTTTATTTGACTGGTAAAGTCGCATCTTTCAAGATTGTTCAAAACTTACTTTCTGGAGGAATGTTTCTCATGACCCTTACCCTCTTGTTCTAAGTCAGTTCTTTTTTATTCACAGCACATGAATTTCTTTACTTCTTACCTTGGGTTCAGAGATTTTTAGTTTTGTTTTAAACATGTACCTCTTCCTGCTATATTGTGAACAACTTTGTTCCTTCAATTCCTAGTAGGAGTTCTGGCATAGAGAACTGATAAATGCTGTGGAATGAATAAGCCACAGAAATATCCCTAATTCTTGTACATTAACCTAATGAGTACCTATTTTAAATTTCAAAAGTTATTTAGGAACACCACTGTAAGCATGTAGACTGTCTACTTAATTATTCATGCCCAAGTTTCAATTCCCAGGTGGCTGTTTTATTATCTAAGGAGTTCCTGGGTCACCTTTCTCAGTATGAGTATAACTCAATGTCAACCTCTGTATGATTTAAGGGAAAGTATACGTAAATCAGATAATTCTTTTAAATCCAAATGTACATGACACTCTAACATGCTTTCTTAAAGCATCATATACATGTTACTTTAAGGTATATTCTATTTCTTTTACTACATGAAATGATATAAAAATAAATGGTGATAGGACATGAAATTTATAGAAGATTGTAAGAGACTCCTTGAAGGGAACTTTAAGAAGCGTGACTGTGAGAGGACAAGAGTCAGCAAAGACCAGAAAAGGGGACCAGGGCGATGGCATTAAAGGCAGGCAGACCCTAAGTTGCATTATGAACCCCGGAGTTTCTTCTGTAAGAGTGAGGAGCCCCTGAACTTTCATCAAACATGTTTGTGTCCCAGCAGTACGAGGGATGGCTGCTGAGTCCAAACTAAGGCCTAGCTGGAGGGATGGACAGCTGACTTACTGAAAGGCACCCCTAAAGGAAGAACATTTGCTCGCCAATTCCATGCAGAGTGAGGAAACATCTTCCTCTGAAATTATGGAAAACACAATTGGTATGGCCAAGTACCACTATTTTTTTTAGAGTTTTTAAATGTGGTACTAGGACATAGTGTTGATGTGATTACTAGATAGTCCTCTTTAAGTGAGCACAGAAAAGAGATAGGTAAGAGACAAATTGATAATGGTATAATCTTAAGCTGGTTTTCCCCCTGATTATTAAGAAGTAGAGCATTTGCAATAAATCCATGAAACCGAATCCTAATCAGGAATGTGTTTATCAGTAATCAGAGATTTTATTTTGCTCCGTTGCTTAAAATTTCAGTGAGCCTTTGATTGAGAGACCAGTACTAAAACTCTTGATGACACTAGGCACATGGCCATTTAATTAACAATACAGGAAAACACAGGGAAAAAAGGATTTAAGAAAATGATCAAGTATAAAGCTACACCATTCTATGTTAACAAAAGTTTTAATACATAGTTGACTAAAAGATGCTTACAATGACTACTGAATCTCCATCCATAGACAGCAAACAAGATATGGAAAACATTTGCTAACTTCAAACAAAACTTCAGGTTGTTCACTTAAAAAATCACAAACCATTTAAAAATGAAAATTAATGATGGAAGCAATGATTATAAAATATGATGGGATGACTGTAAAGAAAGGGTTCAAGTATTATTGTTAGGTTTTTTAGATATTACTCTTTGAAAAGTTTGTGTATTTCCCATCTTTGCATAGTAGAAATGAAAATGAAAAAACAAAACCAAACCACACATACCACTTGGTAAAACTCCATAGCTCTATGTGATTCATGTTTCATAACATGCACCTATGTGTACTGCTCAGTTATCTAATAGGCGTAGCTCTAATTCAGTGGGTTCATGCAGTATCTCAGGGTGAGCAATGAAGTTAGGGTACATTTTCTCATCCAGGTGTCGTTAATTAATGCAGCAAAAGTATAGTGGTGAAATGGGAACTTGTCATCACTTAACACTAACTCTTTTTGGGTAACATTAAACAGCGATATGCTTGTGCTTAGAGCTCAAATGAATAAAAAGGTGTGTCTGCACCACAAATATAATGTGCAAGAGAAATGGCATGTGCAAGAGAAAATACAGCAAGTTTGAGACTACATAATCCAATACCACCAAAAGAATAACCCATTGTTTACAACTCTGTGGTTGCATCGTCTTTCATATCATACACATAGCTTAAAGCTTGTGCATTTTACATATACACACAAATCATTTAACATTGGAGCATAGGTTTGGTTACCCATGAAACTGCCAGTGTAACAAAAAGTTACACTGACATTGCCATATGTACATAATAATTGGGGACCACTGTGGTCTGATTTAAACGTAACATCGCACATTTACAATGTTGTTTGTGAAATGCTCAAAAGTTAACAATAGAGATTGAACTTGTTTGGTAACCACCATAGTTTTGTGCCTATAAGTCACCCTGGTGCCCACAGTGTACTCAACAGCGGCTTTGCATCAACAGTGAGTAGGACCAGCAACCAAGAGAAATAAACACTGCAGCACCAGAAAGAGCTGCTGAGTAATCTGAGTTTCCCCAAGCTTTCTCCAAGCTGAAAGAGCCATGGCCAAGGCAGAGGACACAGCCTGTTCTCTGATGCCAAGTAGGGCTCAGGACCCTGCAGGTCGCCCTGTTATCACATAAACTGGAAGACCTCACACCTGTGTAGCACCTAGTACTCAGAAAGCAGTATCAGGATTAAGATGTTTGATTATGGTCTACTATAGCATGGTGAAGTTAAATTTCCTGTTGTTGGATTGTGATAGTTTTATAATTAAAGATCTCTTGAGGGAAAACCCACAGTTCTAAGTAGCACATTTTTTAAAAGATTTATTTATGCATACAGAACTGGGGTACAGGCCAGAGATGCAGGGTTGGCGAGAGGAAATACCCAGAGACAGAGTGGGGAGCAGAACAGGCAGACTGATGAAGTCCACTGCTGAGGGGAGCAGCAGGCGGGTCAGGAGAGGTCTGCTGCACTATGTATGTCCCTTCTGGGACAGGGGATTGAACTCACACTGAAGCAGCTGCAGCTAGCTTGCAATGCTGCGCTCTAACCTGTTGCGCCACCAGGGAGGGCCCTAAGTAGCACATTTTAAGGTCATAATCCCTTTCAAAATTAAAGCAAAAGTTGGGACTAGTGTGACAAATCTTGCTGAAAGTGGGCAGAAGGGAGATCCAACCACTGGCTTGGCTATGGCGAAGCAGTGACTAGCACACTTGCAGGTTCTGGTCCTAACAGAGGGGGTGCTACTTGAGATCTTCAGTAAGGCTCTAAAATGGATGCTCACTGGAGGGGCCATATGTAAGTCTTTACTTTCAGAGTGAAGCTGGGGCCAAATTTCTCAATCTGTATTTATTAAATACTTTAACAGATGCTATCTTGACCACTCATGGAAGATTAATTCGGTGCAAGTGAAGTAACCTCAAAGGAACTAGAAACCCAGATTACACCTGCAAATCTGCCTGGAGGGAAAAGAAGGTGACTTTATATATCATAGAATCCCATTATAATCCAAACCAGTAACACACTATCGGACTGAACAAGGATTTTTGAAAACAGAACACACAGAATTAAAGTCCACTAGAACAATGCTCACAAGAGGTGACTGGCTTCTGTCTCTATTACCAGTTTTATAGCGGGGTTCTACCATATATATATGCATATATAGGCACATATATATACTATATATATATATGTGTGTGTGTGTTTATATGTATATATGTATATACACACACATATATACATACCATAGAGAGATAGGAAGCATGAATGAAATATTGACAATAATAGAAATGAACAAAATGGAAACTTAACTTTTCTCCCAAATGTCCAACATTTAAAAATTATTTTTTTAATTTAAGGCTTTAAGTTTATCCCCCTTTCACATTAAAGATAGGGAAAGAAAACTATCAAAACCAAAAACTAAAATCATGAGCTTGGCACTTTTGTGATTAATTTGAGAGGGTGTCTACTTTCTTACATTATATACATATGTTCATAATGACATCAAAAAAATTTATAGACTTGTCAGGAAATACATTTGCATTTACATAAATTTTGTGTTTTTAATGTGGGCTATTTTTAAAATTTTTTGTTCCCCCCCTTTTTTGTTTTTGGTTTCAAACATTTCATTTCACTCAAGTCTTTCACTTTTACCTGTTTTGTTCTTTTGCACCTGTTTTGTGCCCAAACTCCCTGGCTCTGTAGCTGCATCTGTCTTTTGTAAGCAAACCCAACAATCACTGTACAACATCTTACAAGAGAAAAGGACAAAGATGGAAAAAAAGAGAAAAGAAACGAAAATGATGGGGAGCAAAAGGCAAACTCAAATTTACAGAGAACCTTTACAAGAAAAATATCTCCATACAGACAAGTGAAAATGGCGTGTCAAAATCTATTTCCATATTTACAATTATAAAAGAACTATACAGTAGCATCATTATTCAAATTCCAGCTCCCATTTCCAGAGGATTATCAGTCCAGGAGAAAAAACAATGGGAAAGGGAGTCGACAAGAGCAGAGGCCAGCGGGGTCTCCTCATGGCCGGTCCTAGACTAGGGCGTGTGGAGGTCGGGCAGCTTCTGAGTGTTTATCTGTCATCTTCACTTTAGCATTTCGGTTGCAGGTTTTGCTGCGGATTGGCTTGCTAGCTGCTTGTTGTATATATGCCATGCAGTTTTTACCCTTTCGAAAATTAGATCTTCATGCCAGTGGAGTGTGTCATTGATAGGAAATGAAAAATAAATCATGCCAAATCATTTATAAGATATTAAGTGCCAGCAGGCTGAGGAAAGAAAAAAAATCATTTGCTATTTTTTCATGGTTCTTTTATTGCCCTTTTTATTTTTTATTGTTGTTGTTCCTTCCTCCTTTAGTTAGAAAAAAAAAATCTGAAATAGTTCTTTTTAAAACATTGTCTTTTGCCCCCGTTTAGTAACAGATGATGGTGGCAGGGGTTCTTTGAAATTATTTCCCAAAAGGACAGTTTTTTTTTGCCCCATCCCGGTCACCCCAACTTCGGTTCCGTAGTCATTACCATCCAGTGTTCTCGTTTACAGACTTAGTTCTGGCAACATGGCGGCGCCGACGTCATACCGGAAACTCAGCAGCGCGCGGTGCCGCTCGTCCAGGGCCGCCGGCTCAGATGGGGCCTTGCTGAGTCGGATCGAACCTCCTCTTCTTGACATTTCTTCCAGAGTGCGTCAAAGAAGATGCAAGGAGGGGAGGGGGGAAATCCACAACATTAATCAGATGGTGATGAGAGCGGGGTGATGAGAATGACAATAACACTAGTTCCAGAGCAAAGTAATCACTCACACAGAGGCAGATTTTCCAAATTAGTTGGAAATGAAAACACAAAGCTCCTCGCACTTTGAAGGCCCATTTCTACTGCAGTACCTCCAAGGGCAGCCCAGTTGGGCTCTTACCGCAGAAGTAAATGACGTGGTTAATTTCACCTGGGTGAGGATTATCATAGGTAGAGCTCCTGTTTAGGGAGCCAGGAGGATACATAGGAAAGCTCTCCAGGTCTTGGCATTAGTTCCCCCAAGGCTCCGATTGTGAATGGGTGGACCCGCCCTGCCCAGGAGTTGACTGGCGACCCTCTATTCAGTTTTCTTGCTGCCGTGGGTGTGTGAGCTCTTACCCCGCTATGGAACAGACATTTGTCCTATCTAGGAGGTAGAGAAGCAGAGTGCACAGTAAGATGGTACACTCGCAGGAGAATGGACACAGGCTTGGGTTAGTTAAGCAAATGCAGCAGTTTAGCTTAGTTGATTAAGCCAGTTAAAGTGCCTTGATCACAGTGTCCAGTCTCCTAAGTGGTTCCTATGCTTGAGAAAAGAAAACAACCAGCAAGACACTACAAGGCAACAACAGAGTTGATTGCAACCTCCCCATGGTCTGGCTTCATGTGGGGCATCAAGCAAGAGGACTCATGCATTTCGTCTGCGCACTGGTCGGGTGCCACATTGCTGCCACCAAGGCGCATGCAAACTGGAGACCGGGGCGTCCCCAGGGCCCCTCCTTCCCCTGGCCACTCACTCAGGGCAGCCGGTTACCCTTCAGCCCTGAGTACAGAAAGGGTCACAGTGGAGTCCTCCTCCCCCAAAGGACATACAAAATGGAAAAAAAAAAAAAAAATTCCAAAGCTCAAGTAAGTATAAAGGTATCCTGCAAGGTTTTTATTTTCCCCAAGATGACCACCTTGGTGCTTCTCCTTGTAAATACTGAGCACAAAAATATCTAAAGAAAAATTTCCCATTTCTTTAAACATTTTTTTTTTCACTGTAACATCTTCATTAGTGATGAATGCAATAACCACAGCTGTAATTCATTGCAGCAAACACTATTTGCAACAAGATACTTCCTTTTTCCTGGTGACTCCCTCTGCCCCCCCACCCCCCGGGCCTTTTTTGAGTTAATATTGTTGAAAGCAGACATTGCTGATGTTGGCCAGGAAACAGGTGAGACTGAAAGGGAAGTTTCCCAGAATGTATCTGTCACTGAGTCAGTTTGCTTTGAAGACTATAATCTGCATTGACTACTTATGTTCTCAATCCTTGGAGATAGGTTAAAAGGAGCCACGCTTCCTGTGAGTTGGCTGGGGATAAAACATGGACTGCTTCACCTTATGCAATGCCCCTTGATCTAGGGGCCCCAACTTATTGAGCTGTGTGTTGCTGGAATGCAAGAGAAATGTTCAACTAATGACTCTTTTGTTAAAGGGGACACTGGAGAAAGATCAAGTCTGCTGGCTCCGTGTTAAATGACATACTGCCTACCTCGAGAGTCACTAATTCAAATTTGGAGAATGTCAGATAAACAGCCATGTCCAAAATCACAGTGGTTCCCAAAATAGGAGATATAAAAGTCCTGGTATACAAACTCCCAAAAGTTTGTGCTTCTTTTAAAAAGTTTGAAGCTTAGGTTACATTTTTTAAATAAGAAAAAGTGTTCTGTTATAACTGGGTTCCCAGGCCTCACCAAGAGGCCAAGCCACTGAGTAGAACCATACACAGCTATGGGAACGTGTACTCTGGATACCAGTGGAAGACTCCAGGACCATAATTTCTCCACCGACGCTCCAGCAGGTAGTAGGCAAGGCCCTAGGATGAGAATAGCGGGGGACATTCCTGTACCAGGCTGAATGCAAGGTGGGCTCATGAGTGGCTTGTGAACCACTATGGGTCACTATAGGTCAAGAATTCCCTGTCTTGAATTTTCTATGTGAAAAGTCTTTTAAAAAATTGAATATGCAAACAACTACCATGGCTAGTTGCTTGTTGTCTGCCTCCCACCACTGTAGTCTCTGAATAGCCTCCACTCTGACCTAGGACTCCAAAAGCAGTTAATTTTCTCACAGCTTATAAAGTATTTCTGGGTCATTAGAATTCATAAATCTTGAATTGACCCAGTTTTCATAAATTTTACTACAATCTGAAAAATCCATACTTTTGTCTACACTTCATATGATACTGTAAGCACTTCTATCCAAAGTCAAAACAAAGTTCTTCAGGTGACAATACCCTTTTCTTCTAGAGTTTATACCCTCCTCTTTCTAGGGTATATATATTCACCTTCTTGTCTTCCCATGATGATTCATTGCCCCACCAAGAACCACTCACCCAACTTTTTCTAGACCACCACAATTAGACCCAGGGGGTTCAGTCAGGGAACTGACTGAGTTTTTCTGGCAAGCCTGGTACCACCACCACTTGCTAAGGTGAGGCTGAGAAAGTGCCTCGTCTGGGAGCAGCAGGCACAGGGGAATAAGGTTCCTTGTTTTGCACCTGGATATGGTCATGGAGTTCTGGTAAACAGCAGTCTGGTTACCTTCCTCATGGAAAAACTAGATTAAAATTAATTCCATTTCCTAATTCTGTAAAAATCAAAATCCAGAAAAAAAGGACATTTGCTTTTTTGAGAAAATTAAGTTCCTTAAGAAGTTCATCCAATTTGACATTCAAACAATGCAGGTAACGTTCTGTGTGATAATCCAAATATGGTCCTTTATATTTAGTTTATGGGAATTCATAAACAGACTTTTCTTTATCATGGTCAACAAAATGGAACACAAGTCAAATGGAATCTCTTAAAAGTCAGAAAAAAAAAAGTCCAGCTCAGTGAGAACTTGTAACCCAAGTAACATCTCATGCAGAGGAGACCACACATGATAATTGCAAAGACTGACTTAATTAACATCTTTGATGTCAACAGCAGTTCTGCCAGGTCAATATGGCCACCACTGCCACTGAATCCATAGAAAACAAGAGGAACCGGGGCAAGGTGATGGGATGTCACAGGTTGACACCTTATAACAAGGTGGGAAATGCTGATAACTCATCCTGAGCTTTAATGTCTGAATTACATATAATATATATATTATATATATAAGTATCATTGTTATCTTCAAGATCTTTTCCTAGAATTCAAGATCACCTAGAATTTCTTAAGACTATCACCTACAGTGCCGATATGCTTTCTCTACATGTAAATAATTATATTGCTCACATCTCTGTTCCTGTATTCAAATTCAGGAAAGGTCAGATAAAAGCCATGTCCAAGATAATAATGGCAATGTCTGCTTATTTTTAAATGGAAATATACAAGTCTCTTTTCATACTTTGCCAGTTTCATTAAGCTTTAGGAAAGATGTTACAAAAATAAACTTTCATCCACTCATTTTTCCCCAATGTCTAACAAAAGTAACAGCTCTAATAATCTATCTATTCACCACTGAATAGAGGCTGTGAGCCTCCATGAGTTAACCAGGACAGAAGTTTGCAATTCCCCTGTGCCATAATCCCTAGCTTCATTCTCTGGGTGTAGGTTCTGGGGAGGAAAAGGAATGTGACGTGAATATAAGTAAATGCAGATATGGGGGGAAATTGAAATTGGTGTACTAAGGACCTATGTTTATTTTTCACAAGATTTCTCAGAGGACAGTCCCAAGGCACTAAGGACAGGGAATCTACAGGCTAAGTCATCTCTTAATCTCCTTACAATCCTGGAGCATGAGATCAACTGAAGTTCCCACCACATTACCCAGTATATCAAACTGCTAAAGAAAATACCTAGTAAATAAAGGAAATTTTTTCCTTTTTGGGAATACTACAATCCTCCTTATGGAAATTTTATTTGCATTAACTGAAACTAGCAAACTCTACTATCCTGCTGAATAGTAGTGATTTAAATTATGTACGTTTTATGTATCTTAATTCATGATCTCTTTACACACACAAATGTGTACACTTTCACACATGCAAACACACTCAAGTATACTGCTTTTTTACCACCTATTTTAGAGGGAACAGGCTTAAGGAAAGAACTGTAAAAGGGGCAGACAACCTTAGCAATATTTTTCATATCTATCTAAATAGGTCTCCTGTGTCGTGACATTTCTTCGACATCTAAGCCACTCAGCACTGAATCTAAGGAGACGTGACACTGAAGAAAAGCATCATTTGCCCTAAGCAGTTCATATATTTTCCTCTGGTTTAAACGTTTATGTCCCTTAAGTTTTTCAGGTTACTTTGCTAATTTCTCTTCTAATAATAAAAGCCTTATTTCGGGAGAGATTTTCAGTAAAGGAATTTAGAACAATCTCTTTTACAAACTATTTCCAACTTCTGATTCTAAAGGAACCTCTCTCTGTTGTATTTGCATTGACCCCAGTGAAAAAATAAAGTGCGTTCAGTTCTTTAACAAAAAATCTTGCTTCTAAATCATTTTTAGTCTAAGAAGACCCAAAGTTGCCCAAATTATAGGGAGACCTAGCCGTTAGCACTTAGTACCCAAAAACTTTTATTGCTAAGTAAAGTTATTTGAAGTATAGTAAAAACCACATACCTAATGTTAAAATCTCAAGCAAATTCCAGTCATCTGTAGCAACCAATACTCAAAGGAAAAAGCAGCAGTTTGTTCAAGTTTAATGTCCTAAAATTGCAAGTTTAAGAATGACTCTTGAAAGCATGAAAATACTTACTTCACACTATCGTGCATCTTCCTACAATACTTTCCTTTGAAGTAATTGTTAGGGTTACATCTGCACAGCAAGCTCCACTCTGTGGTCAACGAGGCTGTTGTTCACCCCACTAAAGGTCCATCGCCCTCCCCTTCCACTTTTTGCTCCTGTTCTTCTGATGATTATCTATCTTTCAGGTAGAAATAATCTGTAGAGGGCCTAATCCACTTATATACACAGTGATAAAGGCTTTTTCCATTTTTCCCCAAAGAAACATGCAGTTCAAGCTGTGAGCTAGGCCAGGCCACTGTTTTGAGGTCCTGCTACAGAACAGTGCTCTTAACTTCAAATACTGAAAGGAGACATCTGGCATTCCATGTGACCGGATGTCCAACATTATGGTAGACTGTTTTCTAGGCGTTAAAATGAGATTTCCTAATACCAACGAGACATCAGGCTAGGTGTGATCCAAATGTATACTTCTCGAGGAATATTGATGAAAAAATTCAAGGGTGTGTTACAAAATAATAGCATCACTAAGCTACTATAATATACCATGGTGTTTTGTTTTGTTTTGTTTACAGTGGTGAGGCATTAAGAAAAGGTTTTGCTGAAATTGGCATACCCAAACCAACCTATAATCTTTTGTTTGGTGCCACACATTAATTCATTATCATGAATTTAATTACCATGAGAAGAAATTGTTGTTGATATCATGAGGAGAAATGTTAGATGCCTATTTTGTGTGTATTTGAAAACACACTACTGTCAATTTATGAATATTGCTTCACCAAACAAGTTCAAGTTTATAAATATCTCTACAGAAAATAAGTGCCATTTGGTAACACCTTTCCAAGTTGAAACTGCTCAAAAACTGTAGGCTCATGAAATCTTAATGAAATAAAATTATCAGAAAATGTTGGATTTATTTAAATCTTCTTTTGGTTTGCTTTTATTTTATAATTCATTCATTTCTAATGGTAACATTTTTGCTGGCTTAAATATGTTGAATTCAAGATTCCAGGCATATAACAGAATAAAGTTCAAAATCAAGACAAATTTTCACATAATTGAGGTCAAAACTTTCTGTACTGAATAACGAGGAGGCAAAATGAGTTTGGAATTTGGGTAATGGCCTTACTTTCCACATAAATTAGTTTTGCTGGGTTGAAAATTTATCACAGAGCATATCTGCTACAAGAAATCTTATCTACAAATTATAATACAGTAATCAAGTCAGCACAGCATGAAAAGATTTAAAAAGCAATTATCCAATGAATCTGAGGTCTAGAAACAGTCAAACTGGGTAAATTAGGTTTAGGATATTTTATCACAATGAAAGTTAATTTGTGATTATCTCATGTGCCTATTTAAACCACTGATCAATGTACAATCTAAACTAAAAGGTCACTATGAATACACGCCAGGCTTATAAGACACGTTAACAGTAGCAGTTAATTAGAATACATTAAGTATCACAAAGCCACAGACTTCAAATTCCAATGGCAAACCAATGCAGTTGTTAGAGAATTCATGGAAGATTCTAAAATGTTTTTAGAAAATAATGAAGTTTTCAAATCACAAAACTTCATATGATATGTTCCATGTGAAAAATGATTACTTATTTTGGTAGCGAAAAATTCAAAATGCTAATGGAAAAGACGCCAATATTAAAACAGATATAAAGAATTGATATTCACTTATTTCCAACTACATAGGTTCCTCGATAATCTGTCTACATTTTAGTGCATCTCAAAAAGACTTGCTCTTCAACATGGGAATGTCTTCCACGGAAGTAGTTTTACTTTGTCCTCCTTAAACTAGCACACGTGAATGCCTTATACATTTGTTTTCCCGCTTGCCTTAAAATGGCATTCCATGTAAGATTCCATGTTTCTTCTTTTCTATATCATTTCTAAATAAAGGTGTTTATTTTTTGTAGTTTTACTGGTTCAAACTTGAAATCTTGTAGCAGGAACTCAAAACTTGGTTATGTAAGCAGAAAAGAGAAGAGCCAGAGCCACCGAGAAGAAGACATGCGGCATTGCTTACTTAAATCCCCATCCTGTGCCCCCAAGGACAATAGCTGCTACCAGGATGGCACCAGCGATGGAGCCTATTATGAGATTGGTGGCACTAGGACCTGTGACAAAGGATCATGGGAAGAAAGTCATATGAGCCAACCACTTTCAGTACCACAAGGGAAAGGAAGTTAAGAGGTTTCAGAAATAAATACCCTATGTAAAAGATTGCCACACACTTAAATTGCCTTGATTTAGCTTACTTGCACTTCAGCTATTATAGACAGTTACTACGGTTATTGCTTGGCTATGTCTGTCTTTAAATTTGAAGCTTCTGTACCACTGACAGTTAAGTTCCATTAAATTCACACTTCACAGAAGTTGAAGCCAATGGCTATCACTGCATGGCCTTCTCCTCCCCTTTCCCAGAATCATGAATCAAACAAGTCAAAGAATACATAAAGAACATGACTGCATTAGTTAGCTCGATCTGACTGGCAGGTGAAGGCTTGGAAAGAAGGAAGTAAAATCTACCAAAGTGCTCTTTCAAGCAACACACAAGTTGACTTCACTTATATGAGATCACTAGGCTTTTTATCCCCCATTAAAGACAGTTAACACTGAGAAGTCAGATGGAAGTTACCAGTACAGATCTGACTTTGAACACTTGCTCTTAAAACCAGATTTCTTCAATGTACAGATCCGTAGGGTTTAAGCAGCAAATGGGGTTCCAAAGGCAAGATATAAGGGGAACATAAAACTCATTTGGGTAATTTTGGGGAAAGAGAAAAAGATTCCTTAGGAAAAAAGATTCTTTATATATAAAGAGAACAGGAAGGACAGCAAGAAAGAAAATACAAAGTGGAGTTTCTTTAAGCTGTTTGAATGAGAAACTGATAAACAGTACAGTAAATCCTTTCTGCACACAGAAAACACCACGACTCACCATATTTAAGTGTGACCAACTTTAGTACAAAGGTTATTTTCAATCTCACATCTTTCTAGATGCTAATATGCAGGTACAGTGTCCCCCAAAGTAAATATTTTCAAGTCCAACTATGTATCGCTGTTCCAGAAGTCACAGGCCAATTTCAGCAGTTCCCCGAAAATAATGGAGTTTGTGTACACTTATTTCTGTGGGATAAAAATTCTCTTTTCTGCTCACATCTGTGCCCTCGACTGTGTACATAAATGGATGCCACCTTGAGCAGCACTGAAATTTCGTGCATTAGATTTTGACTTCGCAATCACCCTGAACTCAGGAGCCTGACAGAAAGGAGGAGGCCAGGTGTAATCAGTCTGGAGAGTGGTCTCTTGATGCTCCTGGGCCACCAACACACTCTTTAGACTAGCCAGAGAGGTTCTGCAGAACACAAATCTATAGTGACACAAATAGAACTGTGTCTATTCCTGATCAAAAAGATGTGAGATATGTGAGTGTGTGTATATGTACATATATACATATTCACACACAATGGAATACGACTCAGCAATCAAAAAGACAAAGGCATGCCATTTGCGGCAATAGAATGGAGCTGGAAGGGATCATGCTAACCAAAATAATTCAGAAGGAAAAAGAAAAATGTCAGATGGTCTCACTTGTAGGGGTAATATAGGGAAACCTAACAAAGGATCAGGAAAAAGTAAAAAACTAGGTAGGCCAAAGATCTGAAACACACAGCAGGGGAAGGGGAATGGTCAAAACAGGGACAGGAAAAGCACAAGGGACTATGGTGGTGGTCATGGGTGCTATGGTGGTGGGAGAACTATGAAGATTACATATAAGGCGAGAAATCAAGTACTGTACAAACATGAACAACGATGTAAGGAAGGGGAAAAAAAGAACTGTATCTATTCCATTGCATAGGAATCAGAGACTCCTAGAAGTTCAAAAGTAGTGGAGGGAAGAGCAGAATACATATTTGTCTAATTCTAAGCTATAAATTTGGAAGGTTAGCACACTAATAACAATCTGTAGGCTCAATTAGGTCCCACTGCCTGCTTCTGTAAGGACAGTGCTTGAGTGGACCCACTCCCTCGACTGCCTCGTAACCATGGCTCCTGGATGTCCTCTTGCTCACACAGCACAGAGGCCCCTTCGTGACGGATACCCTCTACCCTGCAAAGCCAAAACTAAATGTCCCTATACAGAAAGTTGCTAAGTCCTGCTAGCTAATGAAACATTCATTTATATGTACTTCCTCCCTCTGCACATTTTAATAGAGAACCAAATTTTGAAACAAATATTTTAAAAATATTTGTATTACCATATACATATGGTATGCTTTAGATTTGTACTTTACTAGCTCACAAAAGGTAGGCGGTAACTAAAACAGGACACAATCCATGACTAATGGTTCCTAATTTACCACTACACACTAAGGAGTAAAAACAAAAAAAACAAACCAAACCAAAACCCAATCTTTGTCCCTTGAATCCTCAGTGACTAAATAAATATACCCAGCATGTTAAACTAGGAAGTGTTAAAACAGCCTATATTATACCAGCAGATTTATTTCTTAAAAAACACCATTTATGTTTTTGGCCAACATGGCAAATTCAGAATTTGAAGGACAAAACAGCAATAAAATGTCAGACAAAAGCAGAGACTAAACTGGGACAACTAGGTAACAAACTTGTTTTTAGGAAAAATATCTATGCTTTTAAGGACTTACCTGTCACCAGCAGAAATAGCCACAAAACAACAACACTGGAAAGGATGGATGGAAACAAATACTGGTAACAACGACTAATCTTTATGACAAAGACCTTGTATTTTTGCTGATCATTAAGATTCAAGGCAATTATTAAAATTCATCCTTCAACTAATATACTGACCAAATTACAGTCAATAAAATACAGTTGGAATGCTGTATCAAGACTCCCTTTCTTAAAGGCACACCTGTGGGTAGAATTTCCCTTGAAAAGGGATTATTACCTCACTAATAATCCAAATTATCTATCAACAGGCCCGAGGTGAAATCAAGACTAAGTTATTTTCTCTAAATGTTTTACTTCTGCTATCTACTTCGTTGTCTAACCAGTAAAGAGAAACAGAATGTCATTTCCAGTATTTAGCTTCTTTTGGGTAACTAGCTTCACCGTAAATATTGAGGGAGCTGAAAGACCCCGACCTACTCACAGCTCTTCGATCTAGTGGGGTTAAGGTTTCGGTAACCTCAGACACACGACAGGACCTATGAACCTGCTCCCCTCTTCACGCTATTTTGATGCCAGGGCCTCCCAATCCCTGTTTGCAGCTCATTGCCATTCATGGGTCTAAGGAGGACATCAGTGATGTTACTGACATGCCAGTGTCTGGGCTGCTGGACTGAAAGGTAATGGGTGATTCTTTAAGATAACACTAATTCATTCCTGGGCCACTGCAAAGAGGTGAACAGAAAACACAGAGCCCATGAAGGAGGCATTTCTGTTACTTGTAGATGCGTTCTCAAATTCGAGAAAAGTAAAAAAATCACAAGTCTTTAGTCTACAGATTTACAATCTCATAAAAGTCATGTCCCACAGACAATTGCCAGTTATTCTGAGGATGTGGATCAAGTACAGTGTAACCTAAATAAAGGTGCCAGTAGAACTGTCTTTCTGTGGGAGTTCAAAGACAAGGAGCACACAATGTATTTATCCACTTGGTGTTTTTAAGACTAACCCACCAAATAATCTGCAACTGTTCATTTAAAGTTTCACAGGTTTGGATTAAACGTTTTCATTCTTAAGGTTCTTTGTTCCCAAATATTTATGTAAACTTCTACTTTAAATTATTAACCTATTTTATAAGGAAAAAGGGCAGTATCCTAAATATCTTCTTTTAGAAATAATGAAACCGAAGCCTATTTATATCACTCTAAATAAATGGAGAAAATATTAGTGGTTATCATTCAGATTACCTTTGAGTGATTAATTCTTGGTTGTAAATGTGGGTCTTTTGGCCGATGAAGACTGAATTCTATTTAAGCATCCTAATAACACACTCACATAAAATCATTAATTGCCAAGAAATAGTTTTTTGGTTTTTTTTTTTTTTTTTTTTTTTTTTAAGGCTGTAGTTTAAATTTACAAGTGGAGGAGCAATAGAAGCTTTTGGATTGCTGCCTCAATGGTGAAGACCTCATAAGCACCCCAAATTTTATTTTATGCCCCACATTGTTCCAGACAGGAGAAGGTTCTTGACTGCACAAGAAAAACCACACAACACAAACACGTCCAAGTCACGCCACAAGTTGCACTGTCACAAGAAACAGACCAACAAGACAACACACAGGGTCAGGCAACTCAGTTGGCTCAGACACCAGCAACCAGACACAAACACTCTGAAACTCACAAAGATGCTTACTCTATTCCCCACCCTGTGCCTCCAAAAATCACCCCCAGGGCCAGAATGGTGCCAGCCACAGCACCTATTAGCCTGCTCGTGGCCATGTTCACTGTGTGGAGGGAAAACGGAGAGTTTTTTAAGCAAAGGACATTAACGAGACACTGATTTCACTAGTACACAAAATAATCTGTTCATAAAATGTTTTGAAAGTCAGTTAAATGTTGCGGTCTTTGCTTTAGGAATTGAAATTAAGATCTACAGACACTTTGAAAAAAATTTGAGGATAATTCTGAATTTCCCTTCAAATGCCACAGACCCTGCTTCAAAGCATACTTTCTTATACATACTTTGGAACACAGCAGTAGCCCAATATGAGGTAGAGTTCCTCCAAGAGTGAGGGAAAATTAAAACATCACCTAAATCGTGTAGTAGCAGATCTGTACTTTAATTACAAAAGGAGTAAGCTTTGAGCATACTTAACTGGCTCTTCAAACTCTAAAATAAGCCTCAGAAAGTTCCTTTTTTAAAATTCAGCTCTTTCTCAGCCAATTTTGTGAAAATTCTTACCAATTTAAAATAGTGCATCTTTCAAGTTAAATGATTTTTTTTACTCAAAAGATTATTTCAGCTGTAAAAGTGTATTTCAAATAATCTTGTATTGTTTGGATTTCTGCCATAGGACTTGGACATTTAAATTTCTGTTTGTGGTCTTCAGTTTTTAAACCAAGTGCTGAGAAAAAAAATTAGGGTCTCTGGAAAACTTGCTTCAGAGCAAGAAGGGATCGATCA